AGAGGCATTTCCAAGGTCCCCTCGCAGCCTTCTCTTCTCCAGGCTGAACAAGCCCAGTTCCCTCAGCCTCTCCTAGGAGAGATGCTCCCGTCCCCTCCTCATCCTCGTAGCCCTGCGCTGGGCTCTCTCCAGTAGCTCCTCATCTTTCTTGAAGTGGGGAGCCCAGAACTGGACAGAGTACTCCAGATGGGGCCTCAGTGGGGCAGAGTAGAGGGGAAGGAGAACCTTCATGAGGTCCACATTGTTCGTGAGCTTCAGACTCGAATGTTTAATAGCTAAAACTTTGTCTTGCTGCGTGTGTGTCCTGGTGATGTGCATGCATAGTAGGATGTGGTGCTGTCTCTGCTGGGTGTGAGCACTGCCAGCCCAGTTGATATTTATTAGTGTTAATAACTGTCAGAAACTACTTAGCAGAAGGAGAGGTTTAAGCAGATACTTGCTGCCTCAGCTGAGGAAAAAGGAAAACAGTGAGATCTGGGGGTTGTCCATTAGGCTTCTTTCGCAGTAAGGAACTGAGCCAAGCAGGGCTTGTCACCTGTGCCAAGTAGTGCCTTGCTTATTTTATTTTCATTTTTTTGGCCTGAATCTATGGTATGTAAAAGAAGAAAACGTTTGCTCCTAGGCAGGTAACCTGGTGACTTTTTTTTTTTGCTTGAATCTTGGTGCTCATCAGTGTTGATGAAAGTGGGATGTGCAGAACTGCATCGCTCGTCAGAGTGAACAGGACCTCCAGGACTACAGAGGGGGGAATTCTACAGTGGGGATTTCTGCTCTGTTGAAGGCACTTACTTGCATTGTTCAGCAGCGTATCAGGACGACAGGGTGACCATGAGCCAGCAGCGTGCCCTGACTGCCCAGAAGGCCAATGGTCTCCTGGGGTGCATTCAGAGGAGTGTGGGCAGCAGGGCGAGGGAGGGTCTCCTCCCCCTCTGCTCTGCCCCACTGAGGCCCCATCTGCAGTGCTGTGTCCAGTGCTGGGCTCCCCACTTCAAGAAAGATGAGGAGCTACTGGAGAGAGCCCAGCGCAGGGCTGGCTGCAGGAGGGGACTGGAGCATCTCTCCTAGGAGGAGAGGCTGAGGGAGCTGGGCTTGTTCAGCCTGGAGAAGAGAAGGCTGAGAGGGGACCTTGGAAATGCCTCTAAATATCTGCAGGGTGGGGGTCAGGAGGACGGGGCCAGGCTCTTT